AAAATAATCTGCAAAAGAAGACATTTCTTTCTGAGTTTGCACAAGTTTGATGCTACACAGAAGAGAGGCTTGGAAACTAGGCAAACTTTGAACTAGACATGATAACCCAGTATCTGCTGCAGATGTTGAGTTATCATCTCAATTTCACTTGTTATTGTATATTGACTGTATGCTCTTAACCAATCAGAATTTTAGTAGTAAGTCTAATGTATACTAATTGGAGCTAAGGGTTAAGGCCCTCACAAGTGATACCCAAGACTTGCCTTTCTCTTTTCTTATCCAACTTCTTCAACATAAACTCGCAGTAGCCACTCCCACAAATTACATCAAACTGGTTAAAGAAATCTTCTGTTTCCTGAAAAAAGTAGGATGTGAGAAACTTGCTGTTTTGAAACCAGTAGACAGCATATAAGTATACAAAACAAGTACTGGTACTCATCACACAAAATAAGGATGACAAACCTTTCCATTTAATGAAGAATTCAACTTGGCTACCTCAGCTTTTACTTTGTCAGGAAATTTAGAAATTACTTTCAGACGATCCTATGTAAGAAAGAATCATCACTATTAATAATAGCTTAGTTCTTGTTAGCATACATACAGTGTAATCAAATGAATCAAACCAAGTGTAGTGAAAACTGAAAGCTTGCAAAGATGCACCTTTAAAAATCTGACAAAAACTAATAGATTATACCCAGTCTTGTGATGGAAAGTCTTATGAATATATAAGCAGTTATCATATTAAGTCTCGAAGATTTTCATCTGATCTTAGCCAATCCAGAATAACTGTTCCACTTATGGAAATAATGAACTTCTCTATTTGAAAACAAGGGTGAGTGCAGAGCCTTCTCTATAAAAATATTTTTTTGACTCCCATGTAAACTATATGTATTTCCACAAGGAAATTTCAAATCTGGGATAATTCAGAAAGACAGGGTATTTTTAAGAGGGAAGTGCTCTGTTAAATTCTGACTAAACTAAACATGCATTAATGAAAGTAACATAATAACATCCATACCTCGGGAGTTAGAGTTGATTCGTCATTGATTGTGATCATGTGGTCAGCAGCTAACAGACCCACTGCCTGGTTTACTATATCTGTACATACCGTTCGCAGAAGATGGCGGGACAACTGCACTTGTACATCATCTGTTAAAACCACACAAAACAAGACTCAATGTCGCTCACAGATCTGACCCAAATCTTGATAATAATCAGATCACCCTCGTGCAGTTGATGGAGGTAAATGAAATAATTCACATGACAAAGGTTTCTTAAGAGTTACAGAACCCACCACAGATTTGGAATGGTTTCACAGTGTCTGTTACCATTTACCCTTGGACCCTGGGAGTGACTAGCATCTAATTTTCCTTACAGTGTCCCTTTTCCCCCCCACCCTAACTGATGTTAGGGTGGGAAAGGTTAAAGTCCCCAGTCTGAGCTGGATCCATCAAAGCAAGAAAAAAATCAGCTGATCATGATTGGGAGTCAAAGAGTATTTTAAAAAGTCACTTACCAGAAAATAATTTGATTCCTTTGTCAAACAGTTTTGCATTTGCCCACAGCACACTGACTTTTTCCTGCACCTCTGAATGACTTTTACGTTTTTTGTCTCCTGTGGAAAGGAAGACCGACCGAGCCACCTCTTGGTAACATTGGGTCAGCGGTCTATTGGGTAAATAAAAAGCAACCAAACAATCACAAAAAAATACCTTCTAAAGAACAACTAAGCTGCATTATTCATTATTACAGTGATGTTCTCAACACAAAGATGTGATTAAGAGATAGCCAGCATACAACAGTTCTTAGAGCATGGAATTCATAGCTTTCCTAAGCTAACAAAGCCCTGTTTTGTTAATTACAAGATTTCTGTGAAGTTTTTACCACCTCTGGAGTAATTGCTACAGTAAACAAAAGATGAAAATTGAAGATAGGAAATTTAAAAAAAAATTAAACTTCAAAAATTTAGTAAAGTTTAAGAAAGATCCAAATCCTAAAGAAAATCTTGCTCTCTTTATTCTAAGTGATTCTTCACCTAAACAGGTAAGAAGCTAATTCTTCAAAGAGTTCCTCTGGACAACTTGGAAATCTTTTCTGTAATTCTTCTGATATCTACATTGAAAGAGCAACAAAAACAGGCAATGATTCGCAAAAGTATGCTTGAGTCAACCTAGGTTCCCTCAACTTTATTTGACTGCTGTAGTTGAATTTACTTCACTGCTATAGTGAGCCAAGTAACCAACTGGGGCTGGTTGTTTGAAAGGGCGTTACCAACAATCCAGGATTAAAAGCTGGACTTGTCCATGATTTCTCTTGAAATAAAGCATATATTAGGGTTTATGTTTTTAAGGGTTTTACTTGGCGCAAGACAAAACTGAAGGAAAAATATAAACAAGATTTAAACTGTCTGCAAAGCTATAAAACAACTAAGCTCTGCTGGGGTTCAGTTATTCTTAAGTGAGGAGTTAAAAAAGACAAAGGAACTAAAGAAAAAGAGAAATTTGAGGAAACTTCTAAAACAAAGAAAACAAAGATCCAAACAAGAAACACACCCATGTAGAAACAGAAAAACAAAAACACTTTTACCTCTTCAGCTGTCATGAAGGGTATATCAGATGAGCTTTGTTTAGGTCTGATGTCTTCCTCCACATCTTCATCTCTAGCTCGGTCCTTTTTCTTATCACGTACCTAAGGATTTGAATTTTTTTTTTTTTTTAAGAGAAAATTAGAATTTACCACTAAAAGTTGTGAATCCCAACACAACAAGATGCAAGGAAGCTGTGTATATAACTGCAATGATTTAAATGAAGTAAAAACAATCCCCTATTTACCACTCTCACCTTTTGAGTTTTACTTTCTCTTCCTCCTCTGCCTCCACCACCACCTCCACTACCACCACCCCCTCCTCCTCCGCCTCCTCCTCCTCCTCCTTTACTACCTCCTGAGGCTGCCTTCTTCCGCCTCTCCTCTTTCTTGTTGTCCCGTCTGTCAGTACCTCCTTTGGAGGCACCCATAGAAGCCAAGTCTTTTCTGGTAAGCTCTGAGAACAATGCAGGAGCTTTAATTGCATCCTAAAAGAAAAAATTAACTAATCAGTTCATGACAGTATTCTAATAAACAGCTAACAAAAGGAAACCTTATAACTCAGAGTTCTCCAAGCATGAAAATACTAGGCAGTTAAAATGCAAAAAGACAAAGAACAAGTTTGGAAGCAACTAACATTAGATGTAAATGGCAAATTTCTAAAATTGACTGTTGTAACATTAAGGTTAAAGCTTAAATATTTACCGCTTTGGCTTTGTCTTGCATCAGTTGTTGGAAGGGATCTTTACAATCTTGAAGGAACTTTTCACTGACCACAATGCTCTCACAGAACACATGAGCTGACGATCTACCAACAGCCTTAAGACAATCCTGTAACAGCTGAGAAGCATCCCCTGGAGTGAATGGCGATGGAAGGAGAGGCTAGGAAAGGAGAGAAACTCTTAATCACTGACATACAGTGCAAGAGAAATACTTGTTTACAATACTGAGAGAAGTGCAAAAACTACAAAGTTCCCACAAAGTGAAGAGACATGTTTTTGGTATATTCCTTTAACTTATTAAAGAAAGAAAAATCCAAGGTAATCAAAAAACTGACCAGTATGTCAATCCATTCACCACTAGACAAAGCTTCATCAATAGCAGCCTCCACCTGGCCTTGTAAAGATTCACCCACACAACATGTGGGCAGAAATTTCACTGGTAACTTATGGAATCTTCTCTTTAGAAATTGTCTTCCATCAGTAATCCCAAGACGTGACAATGCATCATACTCTAAACAAAAAAAATTCTATTGAAGCATTTATTATTGCATAGAGAAAGAACTTCTAATTTCGAGGGAGAATCATTCTTAAGTACTACTCTTGAAAGAACATGGCATTTATTTAGTACATTATATATTCCTCATAGCCTTCTACTTGGAATTATTAAGATCCAGAGTGGGTAATGAGCTACTGTTCAAAACAGACGTCTATTAATTTATTTTCACATGACAAGTTATTTTTGTTGTTTTTTACTTGGGATCTCAAATTTGTCACATTCCTTTGAGACTAATGCTTTAGTTATCTTTTCGAACAAAACAAAGGATCATAAGATTAAATTAAAAAGGAGTAATGTTATTTCTTGATGGGAAATTTTACATATTAACCACAATCCCACTTAAGAGCAACTTTTGAAGATGCACCACACCATGAGTGTGCTGACACTCTTTTAAGTACTGGCAAATATTATAGGGTACATGATTTCTTAGAGAATAACATAATAAGATGTCACTTGAATGAAAAGTGTTGCTACAGTTACTCACCTACATATCCATTCTGATTGAAGAAGTCGTCTATCCAAGAAGTCTGTGTCTTGGAGTAGATATCTGGAACAAATACAGCCTTGTCTTGTCTCCCTTGTATACTTCCTGATATACGACCATCAGAGCACAACTGGTCTATATCCACTGCGAAGGAAAAACTGTTGTGGATGGCTTGTGCACAACACATTTCAAACATTGTCATCTCAAACATCCAAAATATTCTGAGATACTGCTGCACTCAGAGCACACCACAGAAAGAGTGTACAGCTGACTTACTTTAAGGGGAGTGGGTGTGTTTAATATTTCAGCTAGTATTGAAGCTACCATGCCCATTGCTGGATTGCTGAGAGTCAAAAACAATAAGGGGGTAGAGGTCACAGAAATAAAATGCCTGTGCCAAATCAAATGCTGGGGCTTCACTGAAAAGAATGTTTAGTTCTTACACCTACTAAGCAGGGTTATCACAAAGACAACTAACCACTTACTATAAAGTAGCTTTTCTTGAAATCCATACTGAGCCATAAGACTTGATATAGGTGTGGGCCTAAAAAAAACAAGGCTTGGTGAAATACCCATAACTAACATCACCCAGTTTACTAGTTTATCCATAACCTGATGAAGAAAAATTTAAAAACAAACAAAAGCAGAGAATGTATTGAGACTAAGTCATTAGGAAGATAACTTCTTCTCAACATCAGAGTTCACTAACTTTCCTGTCGTGCTTCTTTAATAAACAAAATCCAGATTTTATTCAACAAAGCAAGAGACTAAAAATTGTCCATCCCTCTTAAACTCATTCAATAATTTATCCAACATCTTTCTTTGAAACTGATGAAATGACAAAATCTTTTGTCTAATGAATGCAAAACACACAAAAAAGGAACATTGGAATTCCTGCTATGCAAGACTGATAACATTTTGTAGGAACTCAATGCCATCAATTCTAAATTTTTGTATTATTTACTCTTCACATAGTAAGACTTGTCTTTCAGATGTTGATCATGGAACTTTTGGTTAGTGAAATACTGAGTTAAAAATCAATAAAATTGTGTTAATTTTTCATTAAGTGACATACTTTGTGACAGCACTAAACACTCCTCTGATGCAGGCCATCTGCCGTGCTACAAATGCATCAGTAAACAGGACACCTCTTTCCAATTGATCAAGTTGTCCATGAATGATTGTCCCTAATCTGTTCTCAACAATCTAAGGTAATCGAAACAGAGTAATCTCTATTTTGGTGAGCTAAAAACACACTTAAACTACTTTTGACTCATGGGAAAGGGACAATTTCTGTAAATTTAATCCTTTTGACCTCATGAAATTTGTGATCAGTAACCTTCTGTTTGTAACCCTTCACTATTTTTGCAAATCTTAAAAACTCCAAGAGTATACCAGCAAAATCAGTTGATTAATGGATACATCAGACATAATTTTGTAATTGTTGTTTCTAACTTGAGGATAGGTTTCACAAGCTCAAACAAGCAAACAGAAAAGGCCCTCCTACACCCTCCTATATGTGCACATGACAGCTGGCACTCATAATTGTGTCACTATGAAATCCTGCCTCTTAAAAACACTTGATGACTCATAGTTGCTTACAAAATCACTTTATATTTTTGCAGCAATATGGATCTCATTTTCATTATGTTCATCAAATTTGTAGCACATCCATAGGAAATAATCTGTTGCATAGCTCACCTCAAGTAGGAAGTCAGTGGAGAGTGTAAATGTCTTGCTTAACTCTGAGATAACAACTTGTCCAGACTCTTGTAAAGTGTCGTTGATCTCTTCTGCAACTTGGTCTAAGTAGTTACTGTAATCCAAGAAATTACAGTTAAAAGTATGTTATTAAGCTGTTAGGATGGCTCCAATCTCAGAAAACAACTGTTTGAACACTTCCTCGTTTATGCAACATTTCTCTTGAAAAAACAATGTAATAATGGTAACTTTTTCCCCCCTCCTTACGATCAACATTGCCTGGCTGGTAACATGCAGTTATAACTGTGTAAGGGTTGGGGAGGGGAAGGGAAGGGACATTTGGAAGGGATGAAGGAGTTGGAAGTGATTTGAGGCTCCAAGATCTGTTTGGCAAAGGTGCTCTATGAAATGAAGAGTTGTCAAGTAAAGCAATGATCCTCACAGATGCTGCAATTTAAGCAATTGCTTCATAGCTCAGTTTGTAGCACCCAACTAAGTATCTGGGAAATTTAGTGTTATTAGCTGAGTTTATAAATTAAATTGGCCAATGTAAAGAGTTTAAAGGCTGACATTTCAAGCGTTAGCCCTTCATCAAAGTGATAAGAAGAATTGTGGGTTGTGTGTGGGTATATATGTAAAAAATGGAGCTACACTATTGGTGGGAATATGATGAAAAAAAAAATAAAATAAAGTAGTTGAATTAAAAGCGCTCATTGATGCTGTGGGGATTAAAAGAACTGATTTGCAAGATAAATTTTTGTTCTAGAGTTTTTCGGCTTTCTGATATGGCTAGATGTAGGGAAAGACCACAAACTGCCATGTGCTGCTTAGAATGATTTGGGAGATTAAAGATTAAAGATTAAGTATCTGGGGGGTGTGCATTTGAATCATTTGAATCTGACAAAGCCTGAATTTTTTTCTTTTTTTCTTTTCTGCAATTTCTTTCAGTAAATTGCATCTCACCTGCAAGGATAATTGCTTTACTTGATTTTCATTTGGAGATCAAATGAAATTAATTTCATCACAAATGAGGAAGTTCAGTGTTTGATAAAGTTTTTAAAATCCCATAGTCCAATATAGGGATCTCTGTTACCGAAATATGTCTGTAACATACAAACAATCAGCTATTATGCTGTGAATCACCAATTTTTTCAAATAGTAAATGTTAGTTTCATTCTTACTTGTCAATAAGTTCTCCTTGGATGACAATCAAATTTTTGTCATGTTTGACAATTTCGGCAACCTTATTCTCAACATGGGTCAGATCTACTCCAATAATCTAGCAAGAATCAAAATAGTAAGTGCTTAGCATCCTGCCAACTTCTCTACCATCTGAGGAAAGGCAACACAGGGCTGGTAATCCACAGAAGAAAGGTTAAGGATTTCCCCAGCCGACGCATCATACGAGTAAAAGCTTGATACAACAACCAAAAACATGATTGACATAATTAAATTAAAGGTGATACATGTGGTTAAAATGTTGTTTTTCTTTATTTATTAATTAATAATAAGGTAACATAAGTGAATTGAAGCCACTTTGCATATGACATGTATGTAATATTCCAAGAATTGGAAAAGCTAGTTTTAAGTTTTCAGTTGCTTATAACACAAGTATAGTTCTCGCTTTCTTAGGATAATATTCGATGAGAGGTAAAAAATTAATTATTTTTCCGATGACAAATCTTTAAAAGCTCACGAAAGGCATGGTGAGTTAATTAAAACAAACATGACAAAAATGTACATTTCAGGAGAAATATTTCGGCTGGAAAATTTGCCAAAGAAATGAAAATTACTCTTAATACATCAAGGTTTTCGTTATGGCAACCACAAATACAGATTTTTAAGGAACTGGATGTAATAATTAAATACACGTCATCTTTTAAAATCGACACACGTGGATATGAAATAGAGAAAAAAGTTACCCCACTGAAATGGAAATTAAAGATGAAGTCAACGTACCTGCTGTAAGTCCACCAAATTAACTCTCCCTGAAACAGAAAAGTTACAACTTCACTAAGGATCGTTCCAAACTAGTAACCAAGAACCAAAGTAACACAGATACTTACCGCCGTGAACAAATAATTCGTCTTTTATCTCACGTTCAAGTTGTTGTGGGGTGAGATATTCCTTGCCATCTGTCGTGTAAATAACCTCAACCAGCCCCAAACCGATCAGTTTCTGTACTATTTCGATGCAGTTTCTTTCTGAGAGTTTGTGAGCTGTGCTACTTAGCTGAGCGCGTTGAAAATCAGCCGCCAGTCGCTTTATTTCTTCCCAGTCAGCCATGATTATTACAATTTTCTTTCAGCTGATTGCGAGCCAGCGTTTTCGCAGCAGTGTCTCTAACAACATATGCGCCACTCTTTTAACGCATCACCATTTTCAAGATGGCGGCCATTTCTAAGCAAGAGTACCTCAAGCGTTATATGTCCAATTCCGAAGGTGAAAAAAAGAAGAAGAGGAAGAAAGTTCCCAAGACCTCTTCAAGATATCCAAAATCTATCATTGTGGATGATGATATCGATATCAGAGATATCAAAGTCCATGATTCCGCACAAGACGTGAATGAACTGGAAGGCGATGTTGACGAAGCTCCAGCAGTTTTTGAAGAAGATGGTATAACAAAAGTATCAATAGAATCATTCAAGAAAAGAGAGGAAGACCATAGAAACAAGTGGGCGCCAATAAGTAGAGCGACTCAGTCATATAGAGAGGAAGAGGATAGGTTAAATTTTGAGAGTGAGAACCCAACACCACGAATAACAGGCAGAAAGAGACTGGATACACCTGACTTGTCTCCTCGACGTGGTGGAGGTGTTTACAACTCAGACCAATCGCCACCTAGGAAGAAATCTTCGCATAGAGCTGTAAGAGATTCACCTTCAGTCCATAATGGGAGGCAAGATGCCTCTCCTGCAGCAGATCAGAGTCCTCCAAGAGCAAGGCGGAGAAGGCATGATTCTGGTGATTCTCTACCAGAGCAGTCACAAGATCACAGTCTTGACTCACCACGGTTACAAGAAAGTCCCAATAGGTCTCCTGTGAGGAGACGTAGGAATGATTCTTCTGACCTTTCACCTCCCAGGTCGGAACTGAATAAAGAATTGGATCAATCACCGCTAAGGAAAAGAGCAAATAGTGAGTCTGATCAGTCACCTGTTAGAAAACGTGCAAACAGTGAATCTGATCAGTCACCCCCTAGAAAACATGGTAATGGTGATTCAGACCAGTCACCACCAAGAAGACAAAAAAAACCTGATAGGAGAGACATAAGAACAGAAAGTGGGAAACAAAAGAGAGCAGATAAACGTGAAGAAAGAATGGCTAGTGGTTAGTGAAACTGTGAAGTTTATTTCTTTGCTTTTGATTTTCAAGTTGCAAAGTTATACAGGTGTTGCATTGCTGAAAGTTTAGAGAAAGCTCCATATTTTCTGAATATTTCCAGCCATCTGTAATCAACATAAACTTAATTTTTTCTGGACTGAGTTTTGTGAACGAACACTGGTCCAGACTTACAAGGAGAGAATGTGGCCAAGTATTTTAGAAACTAGATTTACATGTAGTTCCCCTTTTAGCTGGGGAATGTTTGCTGGTATTTGACTTTTTTTTTTTCTCTTTTATGTTAGAGGTTCTCAGAACTGTATGTGATCTGCCTCTATAAACTTCCTAAAATGATTAAACTTTTTCTGTTGGTGTAGGACAGAAAGCTGGTCTTCTGAGTGGAAGTGACTTGAAGCGAGAAAATGAAAGGAAACGGCAGAGAGAAGCTGAAATGTTTGCTACAATGGATCCAAGTATATCAGGCAAAGGTTCAGAAACAGTGTACCGTGATAAAATGGGAAGAAAAAAGGACATCAAGTTAGAGAGAATTAAAAGAAGGGAGGAGGAAAGAAAGGAGACAGAAGAGAATGAGAAATTTATGGAGTGGGGAAGAGGGTGAGTGTTTTCATTATGGTAGATCTGTGAAAATGCAAGCCCCAATGTAATCCCTAGTAAATCAACCCTCTCCCGAGAAAAATATGAAGGTATAGTTGGTTAATTACTTGCACAAAATGAGATTGAAACTTTCCTCAGAGCAACAGAAATTGGCATTCAGATGAATTCATATTGGATGCAAGAAGTTGACCATCAAGGCACTACCATTTCACTTTAACTGATCATTCCCATATTTCCTGACCCTCCCAACATCACCCAGTTAGTAGAAGATAACTACACTCCTGAGATTGTTTAATTTTATTTGTCCCTTCAAAAAATCTTTGTTTAACTGAGACATAGTGAATTTTTACATTTGATAATATCAAAATCAAGAGAGAGAGCATTGTCAACTCCAGGCAACTTTAAACCTAATCTGAGCTTTTGTTTTTTTTTTCTTCAACTAAAATTTTTGCATTTTTTTTTGTCAACAGGGTAGCACAAACTAGAGAAAATGAGGAAAAAGTTGCTGATTATCTACATGAAGTGGATAAACCACTGGCTCGGTACCGTGATGATGTTGACCTAGATAAAATGTTGAAAGATCAGGAAAGAGATGATGATCCAATGTTGGCTTACATGAAGCAGAAAAAGGCTAAACAGAATGTAATGGAAGGAAAGAAAGGTTTGTGTCTTTCGGCTATCAACTTAGATTTTGTTTACAAGAGAGCTTTAAAGGGATTCTCAAGCCAATCACAGGAGTAATGTTGAAATTTTGTTTTTTACCACACTGATTGATGTTTAGGGAGAAGTATGTTCATAAACCACGCAATTCTTAATGCCATAATGAAATATTGTATTTGAAATTTGTATTTTGACTGCAAAATGAAGTTCTAAAAGGATGCAACACTTACTAAAATGGATCACATTATAGTTACTAACAATTATCTCCCTATACTTAACACTTTACACCTCAACATCAGTATGCATATTCTCCACACTGTTCTCTATACATTTTCTAAGGTGCTAATAAGGACAATTTGTTTATCAATCAAGAACTTCTTTAGTTGGTGATCATTTCCTTTATTCTTGTGACCTTACTGAGTGATCCGGGGATGGTATTGTAAAGAAAATTGGGATACTATTCACTGTCAGGGGTCAAAGGATTAAGGTTGCTTCACATGTTAGTGACCTCTAGTTCTCCTTGGTTTCAGTGCAGTATTGTTTGTTCTGGTTTGCTTCAATGTAATAACACATGCATTCTAACTAAACATGACAGGTAAAGCCATCCATATGCTGTAAAAAAAAGCTCTTAACCCTTTAACTCATAAGTGACCAAGACAAAATTTCTCCTTACAATATCAATACAGTATCAAGTATGAAAGTGATGAGAATAAAGAAAAATAATAGTAAAGGGATTATTAGTTGATCCAATACCAAATTCTCTGAACTAACATCACAAGAACTGTATGGCAAACAGTGAGGAGAGTTACTTATGAGATCTTAACTGTTTGGTACTTTTGTCCTTTAACCCTTTGACCTCTAGGAGTGACTGGTATTTAATTCCTCTGTACAATTTCACCGCTGATTAAAATGTTGAAGCCACAAGAATAAAGAAAATGATCATCTACTCATTCAAACAAGAAGCTCTTTATTGACAAACAAATTGTCTTTGTTAGCACTTCAAGAAATGTATCGAGAACAGTGTGGAGAATATGCTCACTGATGTTAGGGTAAAAAGGGTTTAATTTGAAGCTCACCTGACTTGCACTTTTGAACAAGTAAATTTAGTAATCAATACTCTGCCGTGTTTTTTTTTTTACATATCTTTGCATTCCTTTATTCCTTTTGACAGAAAAACCTGTGTACAAGGGCCCAGATCCTCCCCCAAACAGATTTAACATCAGACCAGGATACCGCTGGGATGGTGTGAACCGCTCGAATGGCTTTGAGAACAAACGATTTGCCATGTTAGCCAACAAAGCTGCTGCACAGACAGATGCATATAAATGGAGCACTGAAGATATGTGATTGGGGCAGTACATCAGTTGAAACAGAAGCTATTTTTTAGTGCAGAATGTATTTTTTGCATGGTTGAGTGGATGCTATATGTCCAGCTGTGATGTATATGTTTGATGTCGATGACAATAAAATTTTAGTACAACACAAACCAAGAAAAAGGATTAATTTCTTTTTTAAATTCCCCTGTACCATTCTTGTGGAACTCCTGTTGGAACAAAGCTTTTTGCTTTTAACAGACACCTTGAAGATCAATCCTACTTTACTTCAATATATAAACTAATGACCTGTCATGAGATTTCTGCTACAGAAGAGATTATTCAATTCACCAGTAAACAAAATGTGTTATGAATGAAACAAAATGAACCAAACTGTCTTTCAATGAATTTGTTTCTGAGGAATGGCAGGAAACGTTTTTTTGTAACTCTGTAAAGTAACACAAATGTAAAATAAGTTTCCATTAAGGAGTAAGAGGGGTATAAAGCAGCATACATGGAAATTAATAATTATTAGATTGTTAAATATGAAGTACATGAGTATTGCATCAAAGCCATTAGTGGGACATGAAGACAATCATGGTAGCAAAAACCACTAAAATGCATTTTAATCAAATGACTTAAAGTTCATGACACCGACAAAGGATTACTTCAAAGCCAAACCATAGTTTGGTGACAATACAAACAAGTCGCAGCCTTACACTGGCCATACATACAATCTATAAAACCATGGCAGTGAAAACTACTAAAAATACTTCACAATTCCAAGACCTAAAAAAGGCAAACTTGAAAGCTGAGCCATATAAAAGTGCCATATATTTTGTGTATAATACAAATGAAAGCCTTTGTGATTCCAAGAATTTTATCTTTTAAAATTAAGGAAGCAAATACTAACAACTAATTAAAAAGACTTAGTAAATATTTCTTTGCAGCAAAGCTATCCATGCTCTTGATATCAACCTGAATAAAATAAAAAGAAAACATTAGGTGAACTTGGATGAAGAACAACCCTGTATTCAAATCTGTGTTACTAAAAAAGGTGACCTCTAAGGGAATTTTTGCATCAATTCAGTAAAACATCTATATACCATGGTGACTTGTGGAATTGCATCTCAAAATAGGTACACAGGTATAAAATTTTTCTCCCTAACAAAAGCAATTGTTAGACTCCTTACTATTTTAACTGAGTTATGTAAGAAGAAAAAGGACTTTTTTTGAATTGTGTTCTACCCATCCAACATTTCTGGGGTCAAGTTTTAGCTCAGGAAGAAGTGTATGGGCTTAAAAATATTATTGGTCCTGAGTTTGCCAGAAATAAGTATTGGTCATTTTGAAGCTTCAACATGCCCCCCTCTTGCTGGGCATTTTAACTTTTGAAGATTGTTTTTTGGAAATGCCCTACATGAGTGCCAGATTAGATGGTCAGTATTTTGGTAAAAAGCAAAATCAACAACAACTGTGACTTTCTACTCACTGACCAAGCTTTGAACCTAACCCTTGTGAACCCTTTCTTCCAAACCATTTGCTCATGAACTATTTACCTTTAAAACCACCATATTGAAAGATAAAAGACTTGTATTCCATTGGAAAGACTTGGCACAATTTGAATTCCCCACCCCAACCAAGCAAGGTTCAAATTCCCCACTCCACAGGCTCAGTCGACAGTCAAATTGATCAGCATAAAAGTATATTAAGTGTAACATCACCTTCTTTCTGTGTCAAATTTTGATGAGTCTAGTCTCTCTCAGAGGGAGCATTGCTGAAAATGAATAAAACAATGTCCCAAGTCACTCCTCACAGTGTCTTCAAAACATTCATTTGAGTGAGCAGAGCATGGACACCTTGGCATGGTCTTTGGTAAGACTGATCAACTGATTAACTTGAGCTTTCCATCATGCACCCACAGAATTTGTTCTTAGCTGACTGATCATCATGTTCAAAATTTAACTCCTTTACTGAGTTGTGAATTGTCAACTGGTATCCCCCAAGAAAACTGGGATTGTTAACCACCCTATAATTACTCATAAATATGTTACTTTCAGTACTTTTTTTCACTAAAATTAGTCAAAGATATGCCTTTTAGGCAGTATCATCTATAATTCCCCATTTAAATTAATAATATGACAAGAAATAAACATTTGAGACAACAGCAGACCTCTTGTCCCTTATTGACTTAAAAAGCAGTCACAAAAGACTTGTATAAGTAAGGATTATCAAATGATGAAGCTTCACTCAAGGTCCTCTATAACTTAAACACCAAAGTAAACTTGACAAAAATATCTAATAACCAATGTGATGCTTTTGATTTTCACCCACAAATCTAGGTGGTAGGCAATCATATATAGATTTTCAAGATCTTGATCAAGTAGCATAAACAATGTTTAATTTAAATAAAATTATATTAAAAGGTTATTTACCAAATTAATAGGTCTGTATTAGGTTATAATTATTTGTCCATGGCTTCTACCATTCTTTTTAATTTAAATCATTCATGGCAGCATTCCAAAACTGTTAGAGCAGGAAATCAGATGAAACCAAGAAAGGCTATTGAGGTGGAGGGCACAAATATTTGAATAACCAAAGAAAAATTACTGCCATTGATCTTTTTTATCTTCATTTTGAGTTACTTTTCCGTGCATGTAAAGCAAATGTACCTCAGAAATGTTTTCTTAGTAAATGACCTTTGTTTTTGATATTTTACCTGTAAAAGTGAAGACACAGCAGCAGTAAGGACAGTAGAGTTTTTATCATTTCTAGTCGCCGTTTAATTTCTTCCAAGTTGAAGATTTCTTCATCAATTAGAATACCATGTTGATTTTCAATCTGTTTAAAGAGGTTCAAGAGCAAGTTTCCTTGAATGAAGCAATCATTTATTTTACCCAAAGGTTTAGATCTCAAAGAAAAATGGACCACATTATAATAATGCAATTAACTTGTCTGCAAATACATAAGTAGAGGGACTGCAGAAACACAAGTGACAAGAATGTATCCATATTGTTTTTCTTACTCTACTTTTTGTAAGTAGAAAGGAAGAAATTTATGCAGCTATTTACTCCTGGTCTCAAAAATGTAACCATCCAAAAACATACAGTGTATATCTGCCTTTTATTTCTTCATCAAAAAGGTGGAACATGTGGCCTATACATCTCAACTCAGATTAACAATACAAACACATCTCAACTCAGATTAACTACACAAACATCACTATTGCACATTTAAGTGGCAAAGCAGCCTAAAGTTGTGAAAAGAGATTTGAAAAAGTACACAACAGTTAGTGATATCTTTTGTTAAAATGTCCATCTAATTTTTTCTGTACTAGTTGCAGCCTTGTTAATGACAAAACCAAAGGTAAATAGAAAGCCACAACAATCAAAACTTCACACCTAGTCCGTTACAGAATGGAATAGGGAAATCCACCTACTAGCACCTGGTGGGTGTACTCATTTGGCTGTTTGTTTCACACACAAACATAACATTATGATGTTCACAATATGTAAACTGTACCTCTTCATCCAAATCCTCTTGTGGGATTTTAGGTGCTGGATTGGGTTGATTATCCATCCCTGGAATCTGTAACAAAATAATTCAGTAAAAAACTCTTGTGAAAATATGTGGAACATTAAAATCAGAAAACCAAAGCTTCTTTTTTTTGGGGGTATACTCAAAGCTTCCATTTCATAATGGTTTCAAAATAATCGGTTTTTCTTTTGTGTTACTGCATCACAAGTAAAATTTTGCAAGTAGGCTGTTTACACTTCATACAGTGAACACGCCATTTTTAGAGAAGCCTGTGTATGTTTTTGATTGACAGTTTATCTACAAAAACAATACTTTTCTACTCTGGGGTACAGAAGATTTGCTAATATGGGTCACAGTGTACATGTTCTTCATGCCATCAGTCTCTGTTCTAAGCTAGAATTAACACCTTGCTTAGGCACATTGCGCTGATCTATCAATGCCAGCCAAGGGTCCTTGTTGTCTCTGTATGCTTTCTTGAAAATCTTCTTTACTATTTCTGCTGCCGCTTTGGCCTTACTGTTGGATTTGACATGCTTGGGTGATGACATCATGTGTTTAGACTCCCATTCCCTGGAAATACTCTGAAATGGCAGTGTTGGTGACAAGTACATCAGGTCTGCTGTAACAGCTAAATTGCTCTTTGAAAAACTTTATGATGTACACTGTGGTCATGTCCTTCAACTCATCAACTTCTATGAAATCTGAGTAACTGTCTGTAAGCACAATATATTCCTTAGATTTCAGGGTGAACAAGTTGGAGGAAACATTTCAAGTACCACCATGCTGCTAATCCATGAAGTGGACTCAGCCACTTTTTGTATAATGCCTTTCCTCTCCAACTCTGCAATCTTCTCCTTGACTTCTTTCTGCAGAGTCACTGGTATGTATCTCAGCATGTGTTGTACTAGGGGATAGTTTGGATCGATAGTGAAACTGCTGGAATCTCCTATATGACCAAGGCAATAGGTCATTTTACAGTTGTGTGCTTAGTTGCCAAGCCTTTGATTTGGAGTGAGGCTGAAGGTGACCTTGTTGTGATAGAGACCAGTATCTAGTTAGCATGATAACAAAGTAATTTGCATTTGAAAAGCAGCAAGGTTTGTATCATAACAAGGTCACCCTCAACCTCATTCCTGTTCAAAGGCTTGGCAACCAAGCTCACAACTGTAAAATGGACTATTGAACACATCCTTGTATTCGGTCAAGACTTTCTCTCTGATCAGTGGAGCACTCATCTTTACTGATACTGGACCCACACTGTTTACTTGTACTGTGTTTCTGAGATGGTAAGCTTAAACAGTCCGAGTTTCTCGCAGGTTTCAGCAGATAGTAGAGGCTTGTTTATTGTTTCGACAACCTGGAAATCCAACTCTTTGGCTGTGTTATTTTGATGTATCTTCAGGGTAACTACTTCTGAGAGGGGGTCGCCCGTTTGGTTTACGACTGCCAAGTGTAGGAGCCCCATCACATTGCACGTAGCGCCGGTGTCTAACTGACATTATAACTCAGTGAAGTATGACTCTTCTAGGTCTGAGAAGATTATCTTAGCGTTAAATTGCTTGCCTGGTGTTTCCACGCTGGAGACCTCTTCGATCTTGAAGAGCGGATCTTCACTATCGGTCGCT